TTTGGGCAATTCAATCGTTACCTTTTTTAGTAACTAGCTAGTACTTTTGGGCATCAGGAGTTTGACTTTGGTCAAAGCTGATATCTCGAGGCTACCGTTTGTTTCGGGCAGCGTTGATGCCGTTCATGCTGGTGCTGCTTTGCACTGTTGGCCTTCGCCATTGACAGCTGTAATAAATTTACATAATTAATTCACCTCAAAATTATTTGATTATCACTATATAAAAGGGGTCTTATCTACTTTTGAATAGGTAGCAGAAATAAGTCGTGTTCTAAAGCCCGGTGGTTTGTTCGTTGCTACAACATTTGTTTTCGATGTTGTTCCTCAAATTTGTTCACTAATTAGACCTCTGCGCCAGGTATATAGTCTCTCTCTCTCTTAACTCCTGAATTTTCAAAATAGAGAAAATTAAGAAAAAAGAAGATTTACGATTTAATCTTAGTTATTGCGTGATGATTAATTTTGTTCGTTTATTTTATTTTGTGTCCTTGTGCAGGTCTATGCGCGAGTCTTGGGTATGCACTTGTATTTTTCTGAAGAAGAACTCCAAGATCTGTGCATGTCGTGTGGGCTTATTGACTTTAAGTGTACTCGAAATAGAAATTTTATTATGATATCAGCTACGAAACCTATGTAACTGCATGAATATAAAGAAGCATATAAACTTACGACACCCATAATTAATTCTCTTAGTCGAACATATACACTTAAAAGTGGAGAAAATATATTCACCGTTTTTTTCTTTTCTCTATTTTTGGTTAATTTTATTATCAATTCTTGAATATATTGTTAATTACTACAATTCCGATTGAAGTTATTAAAACCATTTATTTTTTGTTTGAGCTGGTTCGTTTATGCGAATCATACATCACTTGGGTTGGTCCATAAGAGGTTTGACATACAACAGTTTTTATAGACCAGAGAAAGAAAAGACTTACTATCTTAAAGTGTATGAATGAGACATTGATGCGCGATTGAAAGTGCGAGGGTGGTCTCGATTCCAGAGGTTGAGTCGGTGGTCACTGAAACTTCTCAGTTTCATACATTTGTTGCTCGATACAGACAAATTAAAGATAAAGAAACTTATATCGATCTTCATAATGCATTGATTGATCACTTTTAGGAGGAATTTTCTAGTTTAGAAAATTAGATATGTTATTATTTTAATCAATACTTCTCTTATGATTGTCATGTTGTTTTCTTATTTTCACTTCACTAGTGCGTAGCCAGTGCGATGCACGTGTAATAATATTAAATAATAATTATAAATAAAGATATTTGTAAACAATTAAATAATAATTCTAAATTAAAGATTTGAGGTTAACGTGATAAAATTTATGTACAGTGTGTTTAAAATATTAAAATGTCTGAAATATGATATAACATATGAACAAATAACTTAGAGTACATCCACTAATTCCTCGAGATATCACCGGAAACGGACGAACCAACTCGCAACACACACTAATGCAGGCTTAACAAATTTTGGGGACCCATTGAAACACGTCACTTACCTGTTTCTTTCTCTACACATAGCAGAGAGAATAGATGGATTATAATATTTGACGCCATCATATCATATACGATTTTATGTCGTCTCGATATATTTCCACACAGAGCTCAATTCCTGAAGTTATAGTGAAATTAATGGCGATTTCGACAGTATCAGGTGCCTTGCTACCAAGACAACTCAGCTCAAACCCAGTACGGCGCCGTTTTTCTGTACTAAAGTCTTCTCAGCTCATGCCTTTTAATGGCCGTCTGTTCGCCCATAAAGTCTGCGCTTCATCAGCTGCCGCCGTCGAAACCAAGCCAGTAAATCTCAGTCTCTCTCTCTCTTTATCTCTCTCTCTCTTTACGTGTGTTCCTTTTTCATATACCATTTATATTCTTTTAGTTTTTACTATTTGGCGCTTGTTTTGATCATAACGTCTTGAGGTTTCAAAATTTTAGTGAGACTGGGATTGGAGCTAGTGGATATAGGAATACCCCAAAGTAATTTTTGGAATTCGGATCTGATAAGAAATAGTGATTGGAATGCAACGTTGCTGCTGTTTTTATGAATGTAATGAAAAATCTGCCTTTTAAACTGAAAGTTATATGTTTTAGTATACACAAAATATAGGTTTTGACTTTAAATCAGTTTAGCATTTCGATTGTTTCTAATTTCCAGAGACTCTGTCATGTTATGTTGGTCAGGTAGGTAAAAACCGGGGCATTTGTGTTTGTATGTGTATGTGTGTGTGATTATAGGTAAATTTGTACTTATGAAATCAGTGATGGAGCTGAGAGCATGAATTGATCTTGTTTAATTCCTTGCTTCTTAAGAAATGAACTTGTGATTTTGTGAGATTTGGGGAGGAGATGCATTGTAAAATAGGCGAGTTCAGTACTCATTATTTGATTTATGGATGATTAATGCCCACTGAAATTCAGTTTATGGACCTGCATATACATATACAAGAACATAGTTGTTGGATTTGAACAAAGTACTCCTATTTTCATTTTTCCTAGAGAAACCAATATACAATTCAGTAACATGACTTCTTTTAAAATTTGTTCTGCTTATATTAGGATGTAATTGAAGAGACTAAGTTGGACGTTCGCAAAAGCATTTTAGCCTGTCCAATTTGCTATGAACCGCTAATTTGTAACGGTGATTTCAATTTTCTTTTGTAAGTGATTTTTTCTTTAACACCAAACATGTTCTGTACCACCTCTTTATTATTTTCTGATGATTACAATAACTACTCCCACTCAATAAGAATTTTTAGGGCTTTCACTGCTACAAAGTGAAAAGAAAAAAAATATTATTTATATATTTTTATTGACAATTGGCAGGGAATATATAGCTCGGTCTTCTTTGCAGTGCAGTGTGTGCAGAAAATCATACTCTAGAAAGGATTCATATTTTGACCTGACCATAACTGGTGGAGGCAAGTTGTATGGGGAGCTTAAGGCAGCCTCTACAGAGCTTTTCAGGTAAAAGATATGCTTATAGTTTAAATATTGATTAATCTTGCAAATGCCTACAATTTTGTGCTCTTTCCATAGTATAATTGATCCCGTATCAAGTTGAAGATAAGTTGCCAAGCTCTAGACGAGCATATGTCCTTATTTGTATTGTGATCTCCGGATGTTATTCCATTTAATGGTCAGTTTAGTTATACAGCTTTTAATGTATGAATTTCATGATTAATCTATTTTATTTGCTGTCAAAGTCCAAGATATAACTTCTACATACTTCAAAACATGAAGCTAGTTTTGTGGAACTAGCCATTATTTGACTTCTTTGATTGTCCTGCAAAATCCTAATTCTGACATAGGTACTATTTTCTTGTGAGGATTCACTCACATCTCGATATTCTTAATATGTGAACTTTTCCGTACAAACCTTCTTCTGTGCCTACTAAACTTGAGAAAAGTTTTTTAATTAATACAGGTTTCCTCTGGTATCGTTTTTGTATGAAAGAGGTTGGCGGCAAAGTTTCTCACTTGGAGGTGGTTTTCCAGGTCCAGAAAAGGAGGTATGCCATAGTTTTGCTAATCTTATAAGTTCTAACTTTTTTACTTGACAAGAATGTTATCTACTGCATGTGTATCTAATTTGCACCATACAAGAATCATACACAGCTTACATTCTCTGTATGCCTCAAGAAAGTGCAGACTGTGATCACTTTGAGTTTTAAGATCCCATCAATAGTGTCTGTTCAGATTGAGGTCTTGCATTTCTGGTGTTTTAAACTCAGAAAGTGAAGTGAATTACTCGTTCAGATTTTTTTTGACCCTGAAAAGAACTTCCTGTTTGTTCTTTTCTTATTTGATTTCTAGTTTACCACTTTCAACCTTATTCTTCATGAAAATATATCCCTGATTTTTCCCTGGCCAAGCTTACTGCCTAATGGCATTGGTTTGCAGTTTGAAATGATAAAGGATTATCTCAAACCAGTCTTAGGTGGTAATATTGTAGACGCAAGCTGTGGAAGCGGTATGTTTTCCCGCCTTTTTGCAAAAAGTGGATTGTTCTTGAATGTCGTGGCCTTGGACTTCTCTGAGGCAATGCTTAAGCAATGTTACGATTTTGTTAAGGAGGAGAACAACTTTCCTGAAGAGTACAATACTTTCTTTTTAATGATTTTCTAGCTTTTCTGGTTAGTAGAATAATTTGATGAACTTCATGAAACTTTTCTTTTTTACTCTTTCAGGAACTTAATTATGGTTAGAGCTGATATATCAAGGCTGCCGTTTGCAACAAGTAGCGTGGATGCTGTGCATGCCGGTGCTGCTTTGCACTGTTGGCCTTCGCCATCTGCAGCTGTAATTACAAATACCTCAACTTATTTTTCAAGTTTATTCCTCTTAGTTCACCTTATATTTTTTGATTCTTCATTGCTTGATAAGAAAAATATAAAGTTCATCCTACCACTTGAACAGGTATATAATTAAGTGGAAAAAGAAAAAAAATTATTGACTAGCTATTANAAAAAAAAAAAAAAAAAAAAAAAAAAAAAAAAAAAAATGAAAGAAGGAAGCAGGGGCATTTGCCTGTCAAATTTCAGATTTGTACATTTAGTGCTAATTTATAACCACTCATCAACTTTTTATTTACGATTTAATAATAGGTTGCAGAAATAAGCCGTGTTTTGAAACCTGGAGGGATATTTGTTGCCACAACTTACATAGTGGACGGTCCCCTTTCATATATTCCTCTACGTGCCCCTATGCGTCAGGTATTTTTCTTTTGTTTTTCTTTTTCCTCTAGAAGAGAATTATCCTGGCCTAGAGATGCCACCATGTTGGAAAAATCCCATGACCCATTCGTATATTAATTAATGTTATTATTATACGATATAACATCAAAAATATTGGATCATTCTTAATTTAGGTCGAAAAAAAATGTTGTCTTGATTGATGGTATGGTCCTATCATATGTAATGGTTTGATTAATTTAGTTATTTTGGGTGCAGATTGTTGCACAACTGTCAGGCAGTCGTGTATTTTTAAGCGAGGCTGAACTCGAGGATCTGTGTACGTCTACCGGACTTGTAAACTTCACTTGCATCAGAAATAGACTCTTTGTGATGGTATCAGCCATGAAACCTGTGCAGTCGTAAGAAGCCTCATCTCTTGTTCTATATTAAATCAAATGTGTGGTGGATGGGATAGAATATAGATATACATTTGGATTGTTTGTGCGTTTATGGATTGTAGCCCTGTTGTATTTGTTTATTTAATACCTAGTCATATCATATATATATATCTTATTCAATATATAGACTTTTACTCTTTTTCACAAACAATAATTGTAAAATAATTAAAATGCACAACAATTAAAGTTCACATAACTTTCTAAGATTCTAAATAAGAACCTACCAACTCCATCTTTATTTCTATTCCTATTTGATTTTTTTTTTTATTTTTTTTTGTGTATCTTTAATTCATTATAGTTTATGTATTATAATATATAATCACTTTCATCCTAATCAATTTATAGCTCATTGAATAAAATTCATTCAATTAAGTAATAAAGTGTAAAATAATACTGAATTATTGAATAAAATTACATTAAAATAAAGGAGAGTTAAACTTTTCCATAAAATTTTAAGGATTCATATAAATGTAATATTCAACTTATACATAATTATATAATTTTGTGTAAATAATGGTGTTCGTACTTATAATTTTTGCTCATTTAAATTTACTTACAACTTATTTAGTTAGCTTATTAACTTATTGCATTGAAATAAACAAAATGAGGGACATTTTTTTTTTTTATTAATTCATCCAAAGTTACTCATTGCGTGGCTTGATCCATCAATTTATTGATTAATTTTGCAATAAATAAACAAAGTAATTGTTGAAACCTCATAAATTTCATCATATCTATACTTATATAAAATGAATAACCTTTTTTTAAAAAAATGGAAAGTCAATTTTTCAGTCAAACTTCGTTAGCATTAATTACTTTCTATTACTAGCAAATTATTACTTTGTTTCCTGAATTCACGCGTGCAACATTAAATGCATTAGGCTTTTTTTTTTAACTTTCTTCTCAAAATCGCGGTATTTTCAAATTCCGTATAATGAGGCGTGTGTTATCTATACTTTCACATAAATCGGTTGTCCATTTTTTAATTTCACACAATCTGAACAAGAAACTCGGTAAGTTTTAAAAACAATTGGTAGCTTATAAAATCTCATAACATAATTCTACACAAGTTTATCTCTTATCTGTTACAAAAGTTTAAGAAATCTTATCTCTTATATATAAAGATTTTAAAAAATAAAATAATATAAAAACCAATTAATAGTTACTACTAGAAATCCATTATCTACTTTAAAAGCTAATTTTCATGGGTCTAATTACTAATATTTTTACAAATATTATAAGCTAACAATACGTCTTCGATAAACAAATTGTTTAGACATTTTTTTTTATATATTCGTCTATATATACATATATATATATATATATATATATATACACATAATTGATGTTAAATTTAAATATTTGTAGACATGTTTTCTTTACAAAATAGTCTAGAAAAATCTTTTTTTTACACAATGTTAAATTCAAATGATTTTAGATATGTTTTCCTTCTAAAATTGTTTAGAAAAGTTGTAGGTGACATCACATCTTTCAAAAATAATATATAAAATTTTGAATACTTTTACATATACTAATATAATATTATAGGTGTTTTTAATATTAAACATACAAATTTTATATTCTCTTATACAAAATAATGTAAATTTTATATTCTCTTATACAAAATAGTTTTACATTGTTTGACCCTGAATCTTTAATTTATAATTATTAAGTATTGTTTATCTTCCTCTTTAATGTATAATTATTTTTTTTCTTCCTTTTTTTAAATAGGATCAATAGTAGTTTCCACTTCCGTTATTGAGTGACTCAAACTCGAGGTCTATTTATAATATTGTTAATTTAATATTGTTCCGTGCATCGCACGGGGTACACACTAGTTGACCAAAAAAGGAAGGAAAATTATTTTTACGTTTGGCCCAGGGCCGAAAAAAGGCCAAGACAGGCTCTGTTCGATGCATGAATTTGATAAAGAACTATTTGTATAGGTGAACCAATTAAAATATTCATCAATAAAAACCTAAACAAAAAATAAAGTGAATTGATGAGTTATCATGTTTAACATGGTGTAAGATATTAGAAAGTGAGCTAAACATTGTCAACATTAAACTAGTGTGTATCCCGTGCGCTGCACGGAGAGGTTTTTACTTAAAACCTTTTCTAAGACTTTATATTATACATAGTTATTTATGTTTAACATCTTATTATTATAAAAAAAGAAATACTAAATATGAAAAATTATATATTATTTATTTGAATATAATGAGTGTCCCAACCAAACTAATAACATCCAACATATGATATATGATAAAATTAATTATATGATCGTCATACTATTTGAAAAAATATACATATATTTCTAATAAACATGTAAGATCCGCATTTAAATTTGTATTTGGATATGGGATGAAAAATGAATATGTACAAATAAAAAAGTACCAAGAACCTACATAAAATGAGATTCTTTATAAACTTTAAAATATTTTGTAGTTAAGCAAATATTAACAAACAAAATCATCAATTAAGTTGAACTTATCGAATATAAAATATAATTTATGATATCATTGACCATATTTACCCGTTGTATTTAAAGTTATCATTGACCATATTTTTAGGAATTAGGGTTTACAAAATATCTTTTTCAAAATAACAATTTTTTTTATTTTGAATTTGACTTTTTCATCCAACCGCCATTTTCCACAAGAATAAAAATAGTATTTTGGAAAATTTTAGACGTGAAAATCAAATAAAATTAATTTAATAGTAATCGATTAATTTAATATTATTCAAAATTGTTTAATTCGGTCAACCCGATCTTAGTGCACGTTTCATTGAAACAATCGCTTACCAAAAAAAAAGGTAATCGCTTACAAAAAAAGGAAGTGAAATCTATCTATATAATATAAATCAGATTTGAAAAAAAAAAGGAAATGAAATTTCATAATTAATTAACTTAAATTGATGTTATTCGATTTATATCAACTCCCTTCCAAAAAAAAAGGAAATATCCGCTTCCTACCAAATCGATTCAAAAAAAGAAGGATTATGATATACGTCCAAATAAATTACAATTGAAATGTAGGCGGGATTATGAAAAAAAAATAAAAAAAACTTTACCGAATGTTTGAAAAAAATAATCGGATTAAAAAAAATTAAAAGGAAAAAATTCAAAACGTGAAATTAAAATTAAAAACGTGAATTAAAATTAAAAAAATTAAAAATACAAAATTTACCAAATCTCAACCCATCAAAAAAAAAGGAAAATCGAGTGAAATAAAACGTGAAAAAAAAAGGAAAAGCGAGTGAATTAAAAATGTACCAAATCGGATTTTAAAAAAATGGTAACAAATCTCATCTCATCCTAAAGAAAAGGAATTATAACAAATTTAACAAAAAAAAACCAAATCTTATCCTAAAATAAAACAATCCGATTTCCATAAATCACATTCAAAATCAAATTAAGTTAGGCGGGATAAATGAAAAAAATTCAAAAAGAGTTTCCAAAACAGGTAATTTTCGAAAAATTTGAGAGGGAAAAAATGATGTTTAAGCGGGAAATGAAATATTTATTCAAACATTTATTCAAACATTTTTCCTTCTCCATATTATATAGTAATAGATGTCATACACCTCATCATGAAAAAGTTCATGACAATATGTTGATGATATAAATAATTTTTTATAATGTAAAAAGTTATATTGGAGATGCTCATCTTTCTGCTCATAATCATGTATGCAACATGATTATTACAGCTTTTGGATAATGACTAATTAGGCATTTTACGTAGCCAATTGCAAAAACTTTCAACGCAGCATATATCATTGGTCTTTTGAAAGAGAAATTTCGAATTCTTGGACTGCCAATTTGACCAAGTCAAACGCCTGTTATGTGGCCTGTTGCCGTCTTATTTGCAAACTGTAGCCGAACGGCACCGACTACTCATTTTTCTGCACATATTCTTCTAAAGAATTTGTTTTTTCTTTTTGCAATTCAGAAAGTGACAAAACTACCTTTTGAATCTGGCAAGTACGAACGATATGGCTGAAATTTTAGACTCGTATGTCCTATTCACACCAAATATATTTGGTCCACTCAATGTCAATAATTGTCCTATTAACACAAATTTGGTTCAAATGTGGACTTTTAAATGTAGGTTGAGTAACAATCAAGGTGACATCTGAATTGATTAATACGTACATAATAAACGACGACCGAAATAAAAACAAAATAATAAAGTAACCGACTGAGAAGGCTGGAAAGTGTCTCTACAGAATGTAGCACAATGTGTCCAATGTTTTAACTTTTAAATTAAATAGATGTAATACTAATGCTTAATAAACTATTCAATAATTGGCAGTGGCATGACTGTCAACTACCAAGGATTTTTCTCTACACAAAAATAAATATGCAAAAGCAATTACACGTTTTTAGACAATGTTAAGATAATAAAAATATATAAAAGCTGTTCATATTATACATTTTATAAATACTCCGTAAGTGGCTCTGTTTGAAAACCTTACTGACTGTTCATAGGGTATGTGATTAATTGTTAAAAAGAATAATAACAAAATTGAAGGAATTTAATTTTAAAATATTCTGGTTAAGTTTGATTCAATATGTACCAAAAATGAAGATTGAAAAAAAATATAACACAAGAATAAAAAAATATTGTCAATTAAAATCTTAAAAGGTTATAGGACGAAACTGATAAAAAAAAAAATAAAAAATTAAAATTCCTTTACCAAATTGTACCCCAAAAAAAAATTAATGAAAAAGGATAGAAAACAACCAAAACTAATAATGTACGAAAATTGCATCTCTGAATTTGTTTACAAGTGTCCTGTAGATACAAAAGTGATACTATTGGTTTCTTGACATCCACTCTATTAGGCCCCAAAGTCAAATAAATTCAACTTACATGAAGTGGACCAATCACATTGAATCCTCAGTCCTCGCCTTTCAAGCCATATACTTCTTGATTCTCATCTTGGTTTTGCCTTTATCAGTTTTATTATTATTTTTCATATTAAAAAATAAATAAAACATCACCATCCCTTAGAGTTTCTACTTCAAATGCTATATCAATTTCATTGAAAAAACAACCCATTGAAACAGTTGAAAAACATCTCCACCTAAATTATATTTATATTTAGGTGTATATTAGAGTCATCAATGGCTGAACCTGCAAAGTATACACTCAATAGTGACATGGGCTGTTGCTTCATAGCCTCATTCTTCCAACTCAAACCAAAAAATGGTGTCCATCTTCAGGACAGCCCAAACAAGAAGAAGCAACTCATAATTACTACCTCAAAAACACCTAATAAACCCCAAGAAATCCCAAGGCTGCCTTCAAACTACAAGAAACCGGAAAATATCGTGCTTTCGGGCCAATTAGGCAATGTGATCAAGCGGCGGCAGGGGCAATTCGGTAAAATGAACCAAAATGTTGTTACTAAGACACCGGGCCATACTCACATATTGCTCGGCCCGAAAGACCGGTTTCGGGCCGATTCTCTGAAGTCGTTGGGGAATGTCAAATACAAGCAAGGAAAGTATGAAGAGGCACTTGCATTTTATGACCGAGCAATTTCCATTGATCCAAACAGGGCTTGCTATTATGGGAATAAGAGTGCTGCTTTAATTGGATTGGCCCGTTTTGTGGAGGCCCTTTTTCAGGGCTTAGAGGCGGTTAGAATAGATTCTACGTATCATAACGTGCACTATCGGCTGGCAAAACTTTATTTACGGTGAGGTGAAAATTTTAAAATAAAAATTCTAGTCATTGAGAGTTCTAAATTTTTTTATTTTTGTATTATGTTATGTTAGATTGGGAGTAGCTGAGGAAGCGATTAGCCATTATAAGTGCTCGGGACCAAGGGCAAATCCGGAAGATATTGCTCGAGCTGTAAATCTTAGGAGTTGTATAGTGAGGTGTATTGAAAGTAAGAATAATGGACATTGGAAAGCAGTGCTTGGGGAGAGTCAACTTGCGTTGTGTCTTGGAGCTGACTCAGCTCCACAGGTTAGAACTAAACCAAAAGTCGCAATTTCGAAAGAATTCGTCTTCTTTTAAATTTATTTTTTTTAAAAGAAAAATGTGTTTTATCTTTAGATTTACGCGATGAAAGCAGAAGCTCTAATGGAACTCCACAGACACGAAGAAGCATTTTCTGCCACGCAAAATGCACCACATTTTAGCGTAAAACTCTATACCGAATTCTTAGGCTCGGCTGCGACAGCTGGCATATTACGAGTTCGCGCGCTGGTTTACACGGCCAACGGCAGGTCTGTATGAAAAAAAAAATAAAAAATGCCAATTTTAATTATATATTTTCATTTAAGATAATGTCGCTTTTGTTCATCACTTGAACTAATTTCGTATTTAATTAGATTTGAGGATGCAGTGAAAGATATTGAACAGGCATTACGGCTCGATTCAGCGGAGAGCGTGAGGTTGACTTCAGAAAAAGTCAAATTTGTGGCATTATCTCGACTGAATGGCAACCGGCTGTTCAAAGAGTCCAAGTTTATGGAGGCTTTAATTGAATATAGTAAAGGACTTGAGATAGACTGTTACAACTCTGTTCTACTGTGCAATCGAGCTGCATGCCGGTTTAAACTAAAACAATATGAAAAGTCAATTGAGGATTGTACGCAAGCTATTGCCGTTCGGCCTTCTTACTCCAAGGCCAGATTACGCAGGGCCAACTGCCATGCTCAGGTTATTTTTTTTTTATTTTTTTTTTTCAAATTGTCTCTGTTTTTATCAATTGTCATTTGATTTCTAGTTTCATCTGTGTAGTTGGAAAAATGGGAGGCTGCAATTGAAGACTATGAGATACTAATTCGAGAAAATTGGGAAGACCAAAATGTAAGAGCTTCCCTAATAGAAGCTAAGATAGAGCTCAGCAAAATGCAAAATGGCTGTAATATAGAGACAAACTTTATGTAATTCACAATCAATCCAGGTAATCAATTTTTCTTTTTTTGAAGTCATTGAATATATATACATTAGAACAAACATATGTAATTTTTTTGTTTAGTTGGTAATTTTTCAATTGCCATTTTCTTCTATGATTGTGCATATATTATAAGAATCTTAAAAGTAGCCTATTGCAATAATAATTCATTGAGTAATATAATGTGTTAGCTTGTATGTTTACATGATTGAGCGTTGCAGGTAAATTTAGAAGACAATTCCAGCATAGTCAAGTGAGAGACGTTCCAACATTTAAAATATACAGAAATGGTTCACAAGGTGAGGAAATCAAAGACAGGTTTGATGGCTTAGAGAGCTGTATAAAATCGTACTGCACTTAATCAATTGTAAGGATTAAGGGAGATCAAATAATTGAAGTCAAGAATCATATATATTGTATGAAATAAACAGGGCTAAATCTATGATTGGCTTCCAAGGGCAAGTGCATTTCTTTGTAGCGTGAGGATTATTAT